AAATTTTAGGAGTATTTTACTGAAAATATTGTTGATAAGCAAAGCTAAGAAGATCTTGGGGGATTTTGGCCTTATAAAATATATGAAAGATATAGTAGCAAAGCACAATCACAAATCACCAGAGTGCTCATCGGTTGAGCTTTTTTTTAAAAAAAAAAAATGACACACTTGTTAAAGTGCTAAGAGACTTATTTAAACAACTTGTGATCTTCCATTGGCTTTCTCTCTGCAAGCTTCTGAGGAAGGAAGTTGCAAGTCAAGCTTGCGACTGTGTTCCTGCCATGGATCGTGATCACATGATCCTTTTTCCCTGCAAGCTTTCCAGGTTTCCCTATTGACCTATGGCAGGGAATGTTGTAAATGAAGATCACGGGATCATGGCAGAGCAATGGCAATGCTGAAAAGCAGCAATACTGTGGCATTGAAACTTCAAGAACTTTTTAACATTTCATTCCCCCAGGGGTAACGGGTGCTAGTATTTTGCAAGTTGGTCCATTTGAGATTCCTTGATTGAAAAATTTTGCCCTGTGGTGCACCATTTCCTCCTGTTAAAGTTTACAGCACTAGAGTTTCGGTAGTATATAGTTCAATCAGAATAGAGATCTTGGAGATCTTCTCGTCCAGCACCCTGCTGAAAAAAAAACCCACCCTATACCAGGGGTATAAAACTTGCGTCATCACAGCATCGTGTGATGTATCGTGACTTTTTTCCCCTTTCACTAAACCGGGCATGGGCATGATCAGCACATAACGCATCTGTCCTGTGGGCCATGAATTTGACAGCCCTACCCTATACCATTTCAAACAAGTGACTGTCCGGTCTCTTCTTAAAAACCTCCAGTGATGAAGCACCGACAACTTTTGAAGGCAAAGCTTTTCCACTGGTTAATTGTTCTCATTAGGAAGTTTCTCCTTAATTCCAGGTTGCTTCTCTTACCCCCAAATCAAATTTGACCTGAAGGAGCTTTACTTTTTGTAAGTGCTGAATATATAGATGCCTAGAACACTCTCACAATGGTTGCACTCGGGCAATATATATGGGTACGCTTGAATACTATTTTGGTAAGAAAATGAAAGTAAATAAATAAAACAGCTTTACAAAAGAATCCTTGAAAGACTTGTAAGAAAAGAAATTATTTAGCTTCTCTCTCCCTCCCTCTCTCCTTTATTCTAAAAAGAATAAGCATTATGACTTTTTTTAATTTCCTCTTTTTAAAAAATAATGGAAGTGGAGCTGTGTCAGAATAATTGTTGCTAATATAGTAGAGGAAAAGGCTAAAGGGAAGGGGAGATGAAAAGTCGCTGTGTCTCTTCTGCACGTTTGTGAGTCAGTTAATTTAATTACAGCAGTACTATATAAATATTGCAGTTATTTTAATTTCTTCTGATGCTTTTTCTGCTATTCCATTTTTTTTTCTTCTATGGAAAGAAATTTTAAAAAGAAAGGAAAAATATAATTTTGTCTTTGTAAATATTACACAGAATCAGTTTGGACCATTATACGTAACATCTACAATGAGGTAATGGAATACATTTCTGCCCGCTATATATTTTCAATCATATACAGTATAAAACATTTGTCCGTTTAGCATCTTGAGTATATATATAGAATTTCTAGACATGAAGAGTCAAGAAAAGCTTTAGATAGATGATATTGCAAATAAAAGGAAATCTATCTATCTATCTATCTATCTATCTATCTATCTATCTATCTACCTATCTATCTATCTATTTATCTATCTATCTATCCTACCTACCAACCTATCTATTCAGATTTCTATAGCTATTCATCTCATTAAGTGACTTTGGGTAGCATACATCAGATAATAATAATAATAATAATAATAATAATAATAATAATAATAATAAT